GCTGCACCGGCTGCCGGCGAACCACAAAACCCTGGACAATCAGACAGTTTCTATACTGATTTTCTGCTTGCTGATCAGGTCTTTTATACAACTTACTACAAAGCGTTATTTATCATCAAGGCTTTGGCAGGGAATCTGTAGTAGGATTGAAGATGGATTGCTATTTATGCTTATTTGTGTTCATTTTGATTCTCTTTTTCCCCTCTTGTATGAGTGTGCCAATGGTGGGATTCAATTTTTTTTACTACCAGTTCTGTGGGCGTGGCTTGGTGGGTGTGGCATGGCTTGGTAGGCGTGGCTTAGTGGGTGTGGCAGGGGAAGGATACTGTAAAATCTCCATTCCCTCTCCACCACCCCACTAATCTGCTTTCCAGCTCCGTTCTCCTGTGCAGGGCAACAAAAGAAGACCCAGCCGATCAGCTGAGACTTGGGAGGCAGAGAATAGATGGGGGCAGGGCCAGTCAGAGGTGGTATTTGCCGGTTCTCTGAACTACTCAAAATGTCCGCTACCGGTCCTCCAGAACTGGTCAGAAACTGCTGAATACCACCTCTGGCGGGTGCACTGTCAGCAGTCTCAGATGTCTATAGGAGCAGAGCATAGTTCCCACTCCTTACTTTATCTTGGTACTATACAACTCAAATGACCCATATCTTTGTTTTGGGGTTGTTGTTGTTTTTTGAGAATGCATATCAAGAAAATATAAGCAGAGGCTTCCTTAGCAGTGTGCTGGGGTTGGGGATGATATTGTGCATTCATGTCCTCAAAAAAGAGAGGTCCTTCTTTTGCAGCAAGCAAGGTGAGCTCTTGGGTATGGCAGATTAGTTGAAACACACAGCTCTGCCATCCAGTAGATGGGAATGTCTGGGAGATGGCTGTTGCTATTTTAAACCAATCTAGTAAGTAGTAGGACAGAAATTAAAAGCCACTTTTCCTGATGATAGGGTCTGTTCTGGGCTGTCTTCCTGACAGTTGTACAACGTTGACTTACATATCAACGAAGAATAATAAAATATAATTAGGCAGCTTATGTCCAAATGAACTTTCAGTGATGGTTCTCAAGTGATTTCTCAGTGCTGAGACAACATTTGTAATGTTGTCTCACTGATTTTGCACAAAATAATTGGCTCACTGTTTGACTAAGGACTGTATTAATGCATTTAATAAAACCTACCACAAATTGTGCTTGGGGCTCTTGCTAATTATCCTTATAGAACAAACGGCAATATACAAATTAGCTGATGGAAGTAATTGAATTAAGAATGCTTTGAAGGATTGAAAGGAATGTAGTAGTATAGTAAATTGACTCGATTCCAGGTTGGTTTAGTTTAGCCATATTTTCTTCCCTTCCTGTCTTTAATTTCTTTTGCCTACCGGTAGTTTTCAACTCTATGCAAATGTGGCTTAGCCTGGGAGGAAAGAGCATGTATGCATATACAATTTTAAGTTAACAATAGTTCGGAAATGGGTTGCTAATTTCTTTTCCCATTTTTCCCCTCCGCTTAAAGTTAGTTCTCCCCCCCCTTCCCCCCCCTCACTTCCCAATCTCCACAGCTCTGAGATGGCTTCCCATTCCAAACAGTAACCACGTCCAATCTTTTGGAGTTAAAGGCGCCTTTAAAAGAAGCCAACGATCATCACAAACATCTCACGATTGGCAAGACGGCTGCCCTCAAAAGGAAGAGAAGCCGCAATTCCCATAATTCACTCGGGCGTAACCTTTAGAACCACATCCCCCACAAAGCCTTGCGTTCACTTCCTCTCCAGCCATTTTTTTCTTCTTCTTCCCCCTCCCGCGCTGTGACATAGACAGGGCGACGCAATGACATTGTGACGCGAACGGGGGGGGGGAAGGGAGGGGAGGTGAAAGTTCACGCCGGTGCCTGTCTTATTTGCTGGCGGAATTGATATAGTCGAAAGAGAGAGAGAGAAAGAGGGGCATTTCCACCTGGTCTTTCCCCCCCCGCCCCGCCCTCCATGGCGACTCGCTGGCTCCGGGAAATTTGGCAACTGGGAGTGCGGGGAGGGCTGAGACCGAGGGCGACCGCGGCTGGCTGGTGAGCGGAGCGGGGATCAAGCCGGGGCGCGGGGGCACAGGAGGAACCCGACATTGTGGGTTAGGAACCGGGGTGAAGGACCCTCGGGAGAAAGCGAGCCGCCTCCCCCATTCAAAAGAGGGGAGCAGAGCTCGGGTCGCCACCTTTTCTTATTGGCCGGGCTTCCTTCTAGGGCGCTTTTTCCAGGTGGCTTGGCGAGCAGATTCCAGCGGGTGGATCTCCCGTTCCTTAAAAGCGTTGCGTGTATAGGAAAAGATTTGACTCGTTTCTCAATAGGGGGGTGGGGTGGGAAGTACCCTGGCTGTTTTTGAGATTGGCGGGGGGGGGTGTAATAGCATGTGACACCCTCCCCCCTCGGAAAAATGGGTGAAATTGAACAAGGCTCTGGGACATCTTGTGTAAGGAGGCTGAGTGTTTTTTTAGGCAAGGACAACAGGGACCAAGAGCACTTGTACTCCTTGCTCTTCGTTCAAGGGGGAATACAAGGCATCATTGGTAGAAGGTCATTGCAGGAGTAAATGGAAAAAAGTAGAGGTTAAAATGGGAAAGGGTGGCTCCCGAGTTAGAAGGATCCTGCGGGGACTTTATGGGGATGTTACTGGTGATAACGGTGATCAGAGCCCAGGGGCAATAAAAGTAGGACTATTACAGTATGAGATAATAAGTATCTGTTGATCTACTGATTGTCTTTCCCTGGATGTTGTAAGAGGTTTCTATTAATGAATGTGTGTACATGTATGAAGGAAGCAAATGGAAAAGATTACGCCTCCAGTAAGATAAGGGTTGGGATTTTTATAAGTAAAGAGTAGTATGTATAAATGGCAACCTCTTTGTAGTTCAGGGCAATGATGCTGTCTTCTAACATGACAGAAACCTATGTGCCATTGCAATTCTAGATTATTATTTTTTATATAGTCATTCTCTGCTTGTTTTTACACATCTGACAACTGTGGCTACTTTAGTAATGCTTTTTTGGCAGCTGTTTCAATTTGTGCTCCTTTGATTTTTTTTTTTTAATTATGCTAAATGGTAAGCCTAAGAGCATGTGATTTTCATGGAACAATTTATTTAAAATCCCTGAGGTCTTGTTACATCTCTAGATAGAGGATTAAACAAGTTTATGGAAAGGGAGCAAACCTAGTAGCTGTTAATTTTTTTCCATAATGAATTCATGCTTTATTCATTCATCTCTTCTTGTGTGGGTATAAAAATGTTTTATATTGGTGAATAGTATTGGGTTGCAGAAAGTAACTGGGAATGGGTCTTTGTATCAGTTTTTATTGCCTTTGTGTGACTTGTATGTTTTGGCAGATGGCATCAACTGACTTAGAAGTAAGGCTGAATCTGTTTGGTCTACTTGGGTGGGAAACCATCAGAATCACAGAGCTGTAAGCTACACTGGAAAGTATAAAATTTTGTAGTAGAAAATTGTGACAAATCATTTCTGTACTATGGTCAAAGCAGCACCTTTTAATTTGTTAGATTTATATCCTGCCTTCTGCAAGTTCAGAGTGACATATATGTTTATCTGTCATATGTATATTTTTATGAGTTCAAGGTAGCATACATAACACTCCACCCTTTATTTTCCCTCACAATAATAATCTTATGAGGTAGGTTTGGCTGAAAAACACTAACTGAACCAAAGTCAGTCAGTCAGCTTCACTGGCTGAGGGTGGACTTGAAGCTGTGATTCCTCAGTCCTAATCTAACATCTTAACCATTACACCACACATAGACAGTAAGCATCAAGCTCCATTTGAGAATATTTTCAGCTGAAGTACTCTATGAAACATATTGAAATTGTTTTTTATTCATGTAACTCTGGTTTATTTGAAATAGTAACAAAGAGAACTCAGAATGTGCATACTTGCTTCTGTGCTGATCTATAATTTTTGTAAAGAAAATTACTTGGGGCTTTTAAACTGATTGACTCCTGCTGGCTTGGTAAAGCTTTAAAGCCCTGCCTTAGTTCCAGCAGCAACTTGGAAAAGTTTCTAAGCTTAGAAAAGGGAGCTAACTGGACAATGCTGCATTTTGCTTTTTGGTTTTTTTAATTTGGGAAAGGTTTCTTAGCAAACACCTCAAGATGAAATGTTATAGAGTTGAGGAAAAGCAGGTACCAACAGAGTCACTTCCATTATAGACACTGACACCCTCTGTGCCCAAATGCTTGTACCTTTTTAACTTCTTCCTAATAATTGGTATTCTTTATTTCTGCGCTAAATGAATTTCCAAAGAGGAAGCACACTATACAATATATGTGTGACTGATCATGCTTTTCTGTAGTTGTGTTAATGACCAGTAATATCCCAGAGCAAGGGTTTTTTTTATCATGCAGAGAGTTTACAGAGTCAATAGTTACAAACTCATATCATATTTAATCCATACACATGTATGAATTAAATTATGAAGATCCCAGTAGCCCTTTTTAGCCTTCTATGAATTAAAATGTGATGGTATAACCTAGTGAGAAGGGCCATTTTGTTTTAGGTACAATGGCCTTTAGTCACCGTAAGGACAAGATTTGAAGTACAGCATATGGCTTTCCAGATGTTGAACTATAGGACTGTCTGCCAGATGTGTCACTGGCTGGCCATACCTGGTTTAGCGAAGGGGGAAAAAGTCCTGATACATCACATGATGCCGCTTTGACAATGTGATTTTTGACACCCCTGAACTACAGGTTTCAGTTCCCTATTTGTTTAAACCAAGGGTCTTCAAACTTGGCAAGTTTAAGACTTGTGGACTTCAGCTCCCAGAATTCCTGAGCTAACATGACTGGAGGAGGAATTCTGGGAGTTGAAGTCCACAAGTCTTACAGCTGTCAAATTTGAAGGCCCCTGGTTTAAACCAATTTTAAAGGCAATGGGACATTGTTGTTGTTCTAGGTTCATGTGATGAGTTAACAGGATTTTCAGGTTCATGACCTATGAGCTATCCTTAGTTCACATCAGCACTCACCCATATATTCAGTCTACAGATTGATATGTTTGAGTTTTCCTCTCTTATGTGGAATGAAGTTATTTTTGTAAATTTCATAGGCCTTTTATACAGTATTAGTAAGAGCTAATAAATTGAATGGATTCATGTCTTCTAGAGGAGATTTTTTTTTATAATCTTGATGGATATTTTAATATTTATTTGCTGTGTTATCTCAGATCTGGAAATGAATGATCCTTACCAAGACTCATTTTCCCCAGAAATATCTTCTCAAACATTAAAAAAAATAAACTGAGAATAAAGTGTCCAGTAACACTTTGAATACATAACCTTTTGATTGTACTGTTGCAATAATGTTTGCAAAAGACTTCAAAACAGGATTTGGTTTTGGATTTGGTTTCCCAATGAGAACATATTCCAAAGTACTATTTTTCCATATGAGTCTTGGAACTTAATTTTAAAGTTACAAGTTTAAAGTTGTTCTTGAGAAGCCTTCCTAAATAATACATAATGTAGTCATGGGAGTGAGCAACGATATACACGGCTCTTCTAATGTTTATTGGCTTCTTTTTTTCTCTGAATATTGCAGGCAATTGTGGGGAGTTAGTTTGGAAGCACATTATGTGTGTCTAACCGGATGTGTTTGAAGAGATTTGAGATTTTTATTGGAATGATGTTAATTAATAAGTAGGTATTTAAACTTGGAATTTTTAACAAGTTGTAAAATGCTTTATTTGGGGAATTAATTTTACCTAGGTTAAAAAAAAGGAAGCGGCAATTAACAGGTAATATTATAAAGAAATAAATTTAAAATGATCTTTTGAGATGGGCTAGAGAGAAATACATTACTATTTAAGAATTCCATGATGCTGACTTAGGTGCAAATGTTGTTTTAATTCACAATGTGATTTGTTTACTTTTGGCTTAGCAGGACGATTGATTCCAACCACAGTTACCATTTATATATGAATCATAGGTTACACCTTAGCAATACGGATGAGCTAGGGTAATAATGGCCTATGCAAGAAACTCAGACAAAAGTACAGGTAGTCCTTGAGTTGCAACCGTTTGTTTAGTGACCGTTCAAAGTTACAGTGGCCCTGAGAAATGTGGCTTATGACTGTTTTTCACATTTACGACCGTTGCAGCATCCCTAGGGTCACGTGATCAAAATTCAGACGCTTGGCGACTGACTCGCATTTATGACGGTTGCAGTGTCCCGGGGGCCATGGGATCCCCCTTTTTGCGACTTTCTGACAAGCAAAGTCAATGGGGGAAGCCAGAGTCACTTCACCACCACGTTACTAACTTTTAACAACTGTCCTGATTCACTTAACAACTGCGGTAAGAAAAGTCGTAAAATGGGGCAAAACTCACTCTTAACAACCATCTCACTTAGCAGCAGAAATTTGGGGCTCAGTTGTAGCTGTAAGTCGGGGACCACCTGTATGCCTTAGCATGATATGTGAATCCAGTTTATTTTAAATAGAAACCTTACTTAGATGTCGTAGCTTCCTCCACATCATTTTTAGAAATATTTGAGTTATCCTCCGGCAAGGGCACCAAAAGGCTTACGGGCTTAACAATTCCTGAATGTTTATTACCCTGCAGGTTTCATGTCTTTCCCTCTGACTGTTTGCTATAAATAGACTGTTGACTATCCTGTTGCACCAGGGAAAGACTTCACCTTCACGCTTAGAGGGGCTGGCGAAACATCTCCAGGCAAAGCATAGACTGAGATAAGGATTCTCCGGATGCCCACAATTCGCTGTTGCTGGTAGATGCAGTGTAGCGTCACAGTTAACTTTGTGGGGAACAAACTGACGGCATTTAAAACTTCCTTCCTTCAAGTGATTATGCCAGATGAAGACTTTACTATTGCTTTAACTTGTTTTACGTAACGTTCCTATTCACATTGCCTTGCTTGGCAATGTTCCCAAGTAAATGTCTTAGCTAACCTGCCAGGCAGCTATTCTGTAATTGCCATTCTTTCTGCATTCTTTTTTTGTCCTTGAATATGCTGCAATATACTCTTCGCACGTCTTCAAGGGTAGAATTCCACTCCTCTTTTTACCTTGGCTCTCTAGTGGCATCCATCCTACTGTGGTATATTGCTACATTTTATTGTTTCCCCTCTCTTCCCCCCCACCTCCCCACTGAAAAAGGCATGTAAGGCAGCTTCTCACTTTGAGCTCTCCAGATGTGTTAGGCTGCAAGTATTATTATGCTCAGCCAGCATGTGGATGATAGAAATTGGAGTCCAATGCACCTCAAGGGTACTGGATTGGAAAAGGCTGTGATAAAGAAAATCTGCTGCTTTCCGACACAAAAATTATCGCAGACCCATCTTGCGCATGAAGGCATTTAGACCAAAGAAGGTCAAGGACTTTTCTTCAATTCATTGTTTTTTAAGTAGCCTGCAAGCTTGTCGAGCCAAGCAAAAGACTTTTTTTTTTAAACCTCTGGTGACATCAAATCTGACAGGAAATCTGTTCCTCTTTTCGTCGGTAGGCTTTTCACTTGGCATCCTGAATATTTAACTTGTTGAAAGAACAGCTTAGCTGCTGCTGGGGGAGGGTACCCTGGCAATGATTATGTAAGTTAAGCTAAGCTGGCCTGCAAACAAGATAGGAACAGGCCAACATGGAAGGAAATGCAAAGGCTTTGCATTAGCCTGGCTGCTCATTCCTCCCAACTGAATTTGAGGAAGCATCACAGAAAACCGAGGAGGAAAATTGCTACCCCCTTCTTTAATTCAAGTTTTAATTTGATGAATAGATCCAGTTGGGAGTCAGCTGCTAAATGTCGGGTTTCTCGGGCAGAAAGACCTTGCCATCCAAAAAGCAAAAGAGGTGAAGAGGCCAACATCTCGGATCCTATCCTCAGTTGCATCTAACTGCAACACAACTATATCTCAGCGATGTCTTTTCTTTTTCTTTTTTTGTATTGTGTCCTCAAAATTTTGGCCTCATAGAGGCATCCTTAAAGTAGTATTCTCCCCCTTTATTTTGATACAACTTTTGCCATGGATTCAATCAGATGCACCATTCTTTCTGTGGTGTAAAGAGAGGATCTTTGGAGATGGGATCAGCCCAACACCATTGGCCAATTCGGATTGAGCTGACACGATTCTTCCACACCATCTTCTGGACTATTCTGCCTTGGGGAGCAGACAATTCCAATTTTTTGGAATTGTACCTCCATGGTACTATTTGGGATTTCTCCCTGTACCTCTCAGGTTGCCGAGTCTGATCTTCTGGGGTCAGCCTGAACAGCAGGTGATCAGCGGTGGCAACAGGTGGGGCTGCAAGGTGAAAGGAGAAGAGAAGTGATTATTAATTAGTGACTTGCTGTCTGTGAAAACACATTTATCCAGTCTTCTTTAACAGCAATGAACTTGTATCTAAAATTGCTCCCTGACAACAAGTTGTAAAGTAAGCTGGGTGGGAGGGAGCAGCCAAGGATTTAGAGAAATGCATATGTGATCAAATTCACTTTTCCAATTTCTGCAGGAGTGAAGGATGGTATTGATATGTGCAATTTATCCTGACATTTATGATGAAATTCAGATTGTAGTAACTCTGTTGAATAACTTGTACTTTGGGGAGAAGGGCAATGTTTGCCCAATGCTATTAAGTTGAATTTTCACACGCACAGAGCTGATAATCTGAGGAACTGCAGATAGAGATTACAAGAGGTTCAGAACCAGAAATAGATAATCAGAGGCCCTCTGAAATTCATAGACTAAACTTTTATAGAGGCCCTTTCCCCTAAACCCCCCCCCCCCACTTTTTCAAGAGGAACAAGAGCATTTGCCCTTCGAAGATAATTACTCCACAATGGTAGTATGTGTTGTGTGTATTTCATATGGTTGTTAAAATCAACTGAAGATAAATCAGAATTTCCCTCCCCACGTTATATTATCTATGAGGATTTACCCACAATGCACATGTAGGATTTCAGTCCAGGACGCCGTGCTAGGTCATGCTTGTAACTTAACTTTACTTGCAGCTTTTTGAATCGGTGGGTGACGCCTCTGGTTAGGTTATTCAAGATCAACGGATGTTGAATGTAGCCTCTGGGAAAGTTTGGTAGACTTCTATTCAGGCCAGCTAATCCTGAGGATCTTTCAGTTCCAGGTATATGCCATGCTGTGGAAATCTGGTGATCCGAGACCCTCATACTATCAGCAGTCTTGATTGGGATCTCAGTGGTCAGCACAGCCGGACATTTATCAGCTTTACAGGACCTTTCATCAACAAGCGGAAGGAATATTCAGAGAGGAGGATCATTGGGTGAGCTGACATGGCTTGCAGGAGGGTGGTTTTGTGATGGAGGGAAAATGTACGCATCTCGAATACCGTCTTGCATGACCTACACAAGCATCATTTCCTTTGGTAATTAAAAATATATATAGAACTCTGGGTTTTTAAGGCTAGAAAGTTCATCGCCCAAAGCAACCAAAGAGGACCTATTTCTAATGAAAGGGATAAAAACACAAGGCGAGATCTGTGGGTATCCAAGCTACGGTCTGCCTTAATTCAGTGTCCTCTTTCCCACAGTGACCAACCAAATCTTACAGGAAGCTAAAGCAATACAGGTAATCCTTGACTTACAACAGTTGGTTTAGTGACTTTTCGAAGTTACAACAGCCCTTGAAAACATGACTTATGACCATTTTTCACACTTATGACCATTTTAGCATCCCCAGGGTCATGTGATTTACATTCGGATGCTTGACAACAGGCTCCTATTTATGACGGTTTGCAGTGTCCCTGGGTCATCTGATCCCCTTCTGACAAGTAAAGTTGATAGGGAAGCCAGATTTGCTTAACTAACTTGACAACTACAATGTTTCCCTTATCAGCTGTGGCAAGAAAGGTCGTAAAATGGGGCAAAACTCACTTAACAAATGTCTCACTTAAAAATGAAAATTTTGGGCTCCATTGTGGTCGTAGGTTGGGGACTACCTGTACTGTACATAATCAGCAACATCTCGAGGAAACCGCAGGCTGCCTACTTCAGCGTAACAGTACCACCAATCCCCATACATTCTCCAGGAGGTATTATCTTCCCATGCATATGCAAAGTTGGAGGTGTATAATCAAGAGCCAGAAAAGGAACTGTTATCTGCAGATTTAGCGAGGCTGTTATTCGTTTAGATTATGTAATCAGGGATCCATTAGCTTAAATTTTTCTGCCCAGCTCATGGGAAGGGAAGAATTAACTTGGGTGGCTGTTTTGTTATTCTTCCCAGCTGTCTTGATACTTGGAATCTATAGATAACACACAGTGATTGTGTGACCAGTAGCCCTTTCTAGCCTTATCTTCTATGAATATTTTCCATTTACTGTATATTTATTCTGCCTAGCTTCCTCTGCAGCAATAAGGAATGTGTTATCAAAAAGAGAGCTGAGCTTTGCTTGCAATTGATGAGTGATTTGGAAAGATTTTCTTTATTTGTGGCAGGCTTCTGTACTGCTGCAATTAAATCCAAGATTGTGAGATCTTTTGTTAGAGCTCTTCTGCAGTTTCATAAACAGGGAAAGTGTTTGGCAGAATTTGCTGATCAAAAGAGAATCCCAATGACTTTCCCTCCTTCTATTACCTTCCTCCTGCTCCATTTTTTCCGCTTCCTTCTCTCTGCCAGTTCTGTATCAAAAATCTTATTGCTTTTATATTTTTTAATTTAATTTAATTTTAACCAGATTTTTAGAAAGTTAAGAATACTGAGTATAAAGAAAAAAAAAATAAGAGTAAAAAGATACTAGAAATATATTTAAGTCACACTTTCTCCCCTTCCTTTCCGTTTGTTTCCCAACAGCTAACCTAAATATTTCTACTTTTCTCATTGTTGTGTTATGATTACTTCTTTTTGAAGCTTTGCATTGATTTTATCATACAATTTTTTTATTTGTTCCATCATATTTCAATAACCATTTATAGTTATAATAGTCCCAGTAAATGATCTTGGGTTTGTATAAGTCCTCCAACTTCTGTATTTTTCTCAAAGTTCTTCTTCCTTTCTTGAAATAACTTTTTATCCTTCCAAGCAATTTGTAAATATGCCAATCATAGTAAATTGTACCTATGCTGAACAGTTTTCTCTATGTCTTTAATATGTACTGTACCATATGCGCATAAGTAATTAAACCTTACTGATCAGTTGTCCTTGAAATAGGCATTTGACAATAAAGCTAATGGTGAGATTGGCAGACTTATGTTTTTTTTAGAAGACTCCACATTTTTAACCAATTTTGTCTTATATACTGTAATAAATTAATTCAAAGTTCTTCTTTTTTAATATAGATGCCTATAAGTAAAAAATGAGTAAGATTCAGAGTTTTGCAAGACTTGGAAAGAGGCAGATATTATATTAAATACTTTACTGCCTGTCTTGAATAACAGAATGCATAAAATATTCAAACAGCAGACTATATCAATCATAGGAGCCAGGCTCTATTTCTTATACGTTAGTTCTCTTAGATACAATGGGAATCTAAGAGAATAAATAAATGAAACATCCATTCTATTTTCTTTTGTTCTCTTAAAGCACAAGAGCCTGGATTTGAGAAAAGGAGAAGAACTGCAATTGTGGAAGTTTCATTTTTTTATGTTCCACAGCATAATAAATATTCCAACATCCTTTGATGCGCATGTGCCTGTGTCATTGTGGACTTGTGCATCATTGTGGACATAATTTAATGAGTCACTCTCTTTATTTGCAGCTATTCCATGCAGGAAATGTATGGTGTTGTGGCCAATGTGAATGAATATAAGGAATTTGTTCCATGGTGTAAAAAATCAACTGTGGTCTCTAAGCGAGCAGGTCATGTGAAGGCCCAGCTGGAAGTTGGATTCCCTCCTGTTGTGGAACGTTACACTTCTATTGTGACACTGGTGCAACCCCACTTGGTAAAGGTGAGTTGTGTATCTATGGGCTAACCAGGCTGATGATATTTCAGCGTTGCAATGGCAAAATAATAAGCATTGCACAATTAATAATTTTTCCTGGTGCCTCAGATAATTTGGAGGGAGGTTTGATGAACGTGGTTACACTGGCATTGAAAGAAACACTTAATAGAAATTTAAAATATCAAAAGTGCTCAACAGGAAGTCCTTTGCCATAAATGTGACATGTGAAGCAACATACTCATGAGCCAGACATGAGATACCTGTTTCATATGCAGGTTGGTGGGTAAATCGTTATCCAGAGCTGCTGTTACTAGAGTGGGAACTCTTGTGTTTGATTGGCTCTCTCTATTTTGCTGTCCTCCATGTTGAGGAGAATTCTGGGAATTGTAGTCTAACATATCTGGAAAGGCATCAGTTTGGCTAATTCATGCTGTGTGAGCTTTGCTATCAACCTGAATCTTTGCTGTTATTTCCCCCAGGCAGTCTGCACTGATGGGAAGCTTTTCAATCATTTGGAGACAAGCTGGCGTTTCAGTCCTGGCATTCCAGGTTATCCTCGCACGTGTACCCTGGACTTCGCAGTAAGCACACAAAGGCTAATGGGATTCCTCATCATCTCATTAGTTCTTGCATAAATGAGGACTGATGATGATGGGGTTCCTGCATCCATCAGGCTTTTTTAAAAAGGTGGACCTTCCATTATTACTGAGGAGGCTCTGTAAGATCCTAGTTGTGAAGGAACCAGAATCATATTCTGATGGCAGAGATGTTTCTGGTATTGAGCATTCCTATCACAAACCTCTTTTTCCTAGAGCTGTTGAATGAATTCCTTGAAGCAGAGTAGGGAACTCCAAGGTCATTGAGGTATGTTACTTCTCTGGCCTTCAAGCTCTATACTTCCCAAAGGCAGTCCACCTAGTCCTAGTACAAGGGTGTCAAACTCAGGGCCCTTGGTGCTTAGATCTGGCCCGTGGGGCCACCCTGGAAACAGCAAGGAACCGATCAGTAGTACCTCTTGCCAGTGAAAATGGAGCTTTCGCTGACTGAGGGCTGCAGGCTGTCACAGCTGGAAAACGAGCTCGGAAGCCCATTTTTGCTGGGCGAGTGCTTGGGCCGCGACAGGCACCCCTAACACAAGTGACGTTTAGCTGGCCATGCCCACCCTGGCTCCTGCAGGTCATACACAACCCTGATGCGGCCCTCAATGAAATAGAGTTTGATACCCCTGTCCTAGTAGATGCCCCTGTGGCTCCTCTAGTAGTGGAGCTATAATGTGTAAAAGCAAGAAACCATCCCAATACCTGGATGAGTATGGAACTCCTGTACCACACATCCCATTAGGTTACAACCTTAGCTACAAAGATCTCCCTTGCCAAACCCATTTCCACTATAAATCTTGGTTTTATAGACAAAACGTAAGGAGCCACCAGAGTCGTGGTGGCGCAGTGCTTAGAATGCAGTATTGCAGGCTAATTTTGCCAACTGCCAGCAGTTTGATCCTAACCTGCTCAAGGTTGACTCAGCCTTCCATCCTTCTGAGGTGGGTAAAATGAGAACCCAGATTGCTGGGGGCAATAGGGTGACTCTGTAAAACGTTTAGAGAGAGCTTTAAAGTACTGTGAAGCGGTATATAAGGCTAAGTGTTAAGTATAAATGAAGTATGAACAAGTCAGCCAAGTGCTGCATTTATGGCAGTTGCTGATTTAGTTCTCTGGCAGTTCTGACTTAGAGAAAAGCGGTATTTCTAATAGTCAACCTTTAGTTACATGGGGTTCTGTGTCATCCAGCTGGACACTATCGCTGTGCTTAGGGCCATTCTTGATGTCCAGCTGAGACTAGGTTGTCCTTTCTTTCTGCCTCTGCCCCAAGACCCAACTAGAGATGGATCAGCACAGAGTAGTTGTCGGATGGGGCATCCCAATTTATTTTCACAATAATACACCCCTGGGCAATTTCTGTAGGGAAAAAAAAAAGTATTGGAGCCTCATCAGTGTTTAGCAAATAGTGGTACATAGGTTTTATAAGTGCATTTGTTATTCCTGCTGTTCTCAAGAATGCTTCCTGCAGTCTCTCCTGATTTGTAATTTCAAAATTATTCTTCCGCAGCAAATCTTTGCTAGCCCTTCCTCTGGAATGAAGGGAAGGGGGTTTCTCATTGTAAAATGCCCTAGCTCCACTGTGGAAAAATGAATCTTCACGGTAGTCCAATGTGCTGTTCTCTTTCCTCAGATCTCTTTTGAATTTCGTTCTCTGCTGCACTCGCAGTTGGCTACAGTTTTTTTCGATGAGGTAGTAAAGCAGATGGTGGCAGCCTTTGAGCGCCGGGCAGCGAAGACTTATGGCCCTGAGACCCACATTCCTCAAGAACTCATGTTCCACAAAGTGCACCAGACGTGAAGAGTGCCTGCTGCTTTGGTCACCATGCGGACACTTGAAGCTGGGTGTTTGCTTGCAGCATCCCCAGCTGTTTGTTTTTATCTTATTTATTTGGTTTCCCCTGATATCCTGTTTAATTTATCCACTGGGCCTGGTGTGATGACCAAGACTTATTCCTAAGGAAAAGGTCAGAGTGCCATGCTACCTCTGGAGCAACGTCTCAGTCTTCACTTTTGTTTTACTCGACCGGGCTTTTATGCTCTGTCTTTTCTTTTTAGCATACTTTATTTGAAGCTTCTTTCTATGAACCATTACCACTGTGGCTGCCTTAGGTTGTAGTTTGTGCTGTTCCTTGACTTCTTGAGAAAGAGGTAGCAAAAACTCATTAAGTTCTCTCAGTGGGCCTAAGGAAGACCAGTTGAAAATTGTGCCTCTTAAAACATATTTTAAAGGAAAATAACTTAACCAGCCCGCTTCTTGATAAAAGAGAATGGCCTACAGTTGTTGCCCTATGGGTGGCTTTGGCGGTCATTGATACATTGGGTTCTTCTACCTTTCCTTTTCATCATTGGGTTAGGTCAGAAAGAAATGGCAGCCACTTAGCTGTTCAGTGAGTGCCTTTTTGAGGGAATGATGGGGGCCAGGGAAAAGCTTTCTTTTGGGGTTGGGATTATTTTAGAAAACAGGTGTTGCTCTTAATGAAAGTATTTGGAGATAGGAAAGAATGTGAGGGGGAAAGAGAGTGGTCCTTCCTATTGCAGGTCCACTGAAGCTTTCTTTAATGTCCAGCTTGTAATGTCCAGCCTTCCAAGACGATTTTATACCAGTTTCAAAACTCAAATGTTACCCTACCAGCGGATGTTTTGATTTGCAAGCACTTCAGAAGTTCAGCAGCCAGGATATTTTGGGAGTAATTAAATCAGCAAAGGCACTCGGTGACCTAACTAGCTGTTTCAGTTTACTCAGTTCTACCTCTGTATGCTGCTCTGCAAGAAGAGTCTGGAAAACGGCATTAGCAGGCTGAGAGCTTCTGCTTTGAAGAAACAGTTCCCGTCTCTTCAAAACTACGGTTTGTCTTCCATCATATATTTCTGTTCCATGAGTGGCTGTATCCGTTGAGGGTCAGTGAAGATGAAGCTTCCAGGGTGAATGTGAGAGAGGAGCAAATTAAGCATCACGTCTCCGGACAGTTTGTGGGAAGAAATTTAGCTGGAATCTTCAGTGAACCAGCTCCAAGCATGAAACAACTCCATTCCTGGCTGCTGTACTTGCCTATATCCCCAATATGGGTATATCCCAAACCCTCCCTTTTCCCACTCCATCAACACTAATTTTGCATTGCCTAGCTTGGTGTAAACTCTCCCGTCCCCTTTCTAGTTACCCAAGGAAAATTTTATTTTTGTTAAAAGCACTATTTGCACAAACTACGTGGGTGCAGGATTGCCAAGGCTAGTAAGGGAGTGCCACTTTCTGGCTAGGTTTCTGTGGAGGGACTGAACAAGCTCCTGCTAGTGTCTCCTTTACACCCCCGTAGGCTTGGGCTCATCCTAAGTGTGATGCTAAAAATTCTGGGGTGTGTGTGAATGTGCAGTTTGGTGAAGATGCAACTTTGGGGAAGTGTGAGAGAAATACTAGTGGATCAATATGTGTATTTTTATGGAAAGGGCTGGGTATCCATGTAAACTCATAAAATGAATAAATGTTTTGGGGGGTGGGTGGGTGGGTCTAAACTAATATGCCTAAAAGTTAGGCCCTGCTTCAATGTGGCACAGGTTAGCAATCTCCCCCTTGGTTGTGCATTTTGAGAAGTCGTTGCCTGGGGAGTGTTTACAGGGTGGGATGAAGCAAATATTCTGTTGAAGGAATGGCTCAGCAGAGATATGTGACTACAGTGATTTTTCTCAGAACTTTCTCCTTGGGATCAGAATCTCCATACTTAACTTTGTCATAAATAAAAGCCTATCAGATCTGAGTCATGAGGAGTGAGTAATGCATAGATCCAGAGGGAGATATAGAGCAGGGGTCCCCAACCACCGGTCCGTGGACCGGTACCGGTCCGCGGAACAACTCCTACCGGGCCGTGGCTTGCTGGGCGCCGCCATCTTTTTTTGATGAAAAAGTGCTTCCGGTGACCTCACCGGAAGCACTTTTTCATCAAAAAAAGATGGCGGCGCCCAGCTGATGCCGGTACCGGGCCGCGGCGTCAAAAAGGTTGGGGATCACTAATATAGAGCATTACTTGGGGTGCCTGTCATGAAGCAGATTTCCTTTGATGTACGAGTGTAAAATCGGCCTGGGCTGCTTCCCTCTGTTGCCAAATTCTGGAAGGAATTGCTTGCTACAAAGCAGCTTGGCTTTGAGGCAATTCCCATGAATCAGTCAGCTGCCACTTCTTTTCCTGGGTTTTGAGTGTTGTGGCTCCACTGTCAGGGCAGAGTTCTGTGGATCTGGCCCTATAACGGCTACCTTTTTCTCAGCAAACTCCCAGCTATCATCATTCATATTTAAATATGCTCCTCTTTCCTTCCGCTCTCCCAAACTCATCAACTGCTTAATTCCTGTAAAATGCTTTGAGGTCGTTGACTTGCTCTTTATCTTAGTTTGTCGTTGTGTACTCTGCATGACAAGCTTCCAAGCAGAGGGCACAGCCTGCAGTAGTCTTTTCTTAAGCCTCAGACAAGGCAAGATTGTGTTTGTGCTTTTAAATTAGGCTGCCCGGAATGCTGGCCTGAACAAGTATCATTTCTTTCCCCCACCCCCCTCTTCTTTTTAAGAGTGGTGAAGTCACTTCTAGGAAACTTCAAATATCTAACAGTTTAAATAAAATCTAGGTTATGATAGCATTGTGTCTTCCTCAGCAGATCACATCTTGGGTTGTGATTTAAAAAAGAAAAAAACCCAGCAAATTTATGGAGATCTTCCTGACTAGCTATCCTTGTTATACAAGAAGGATGAGCAGTTGGGCCAATAGAAAATAGTAAGTTTCAGTGACACAGAACAGAGCCTTTGAATTTAAATCCAATAATGCATGGCAGACTTTCACGCTTGTATGTATGTATTAACTATAAGCAAAACACACACACTGTAAGACCTGAACATAGCACATATTTTAACAAAGCTCAATTATTGTCTGGAAGAAGGGGGCATGTTCAAATCCCAGCTAACTCTGCTGTAGTAACTTTTTTCAGCTGCGTAACTATACTATGAGGAATAAGCATTTTAAAACAGTTGATATACTGGTATTAATAATAATGCAACTTAAAGAACAAACGCTTCCCCAAGGATTCTGAAATAAATATTCTCGGTCACCTTAATTGACCAAAGCTGCAAACCCTATTCATGCTTCCTTGAAATCCAATCCTGCTGAAGATGGTTAGACTTCTGTGTAATCATATTAAGGACTGCCCATATTTAGAACAACTGGATAGCAGTGCAACAGTCCAAGAGAAAGATTAAGGGCAGTTTTGACAGCAGCAGGCTTACTGCTTTGATTATGTGCCACTTATTGCTGTTCTCCAAGAGTAAAAACCAAACCAAACAAGAGCTTGATGTATGTAGAAATCAGTGTCCAAAGAAACCTAGTATTCTCTTTTTAAAAAGTTTCTAGTTGCTGGGAACAACAATGTTTAAGAATCTCAGAAAGCAAGCAAGACACTTAGGGATCTTGTTGCTGCCTCCTGTAGTTTCAAGATGATAAAATGCAGAATTATGCAATATCCATATTGTTCACTTATAGAAATCCTAGAATGCTAGTTTAGAACACTTGCCCTGGCATCAATTTGATTTCTGATGCACAGGGAAGCATCTACCCACCAGTGCCAGGATTGTCTGCCTTTGTTTTTCCTGCTGAGATCAGCTGTTGCTCAACAAAGCTGGTTTGTTTCTTAGTATAAGGTACACCTCATACAATAGGTTTGTAATAATAGTCACTGTGAAGAATGCTGACTTCACAGAGCACCCCTTTTAGCACAGGTGGATGTCCCTAAAACTAAGGGGCAATTTTGCACCCATTGATTTGCCAAGAGGGGACCAAATCTGGCTGTTAACAAAGGCGTGGTGGCTATTTTTAATCACTAACAGGCAACTTAACCTTGAAAAATATTAGAACTTTTGTTTTCAAGGAGCAGGATGTAGAGATGCAGCTGTTTACTTATTATTCTAAATGAAATCCTTGAATCATTGCAGAAATTGTATTTGTGACCATGTCCACTGAAATAGCTTTTATACAGATCCAGACACTTGAACAAGAGTCCCATTGGAATCAATTGGATGTTAAATTAGGCACACAACCATAATCAGGTGTTGTGGCATAGTTAACCAATTTATAAAGTGAGATAAGCAGGCTGTCCTTCCCGGATGATTTTTTTTTAAAACATTTTGTTCCTGAAGTTTCCTACTGGTTGTAGCATAGCTGTAGTGTTTTATTTGCTGCCATCTAATGAACCTGCATATAGGTTTTCTCAAGTCCATCTGTACTAAATGCCTAATTTTGCTGCTGTCCTTTGTCAAAACAGATGTCTTAAATTTGTGCCTTCTGTTTCTCCCTCTGCACATATTTTTATTGAATTAGCTGTCTTATGTTCCTTAGCCTGGTACGTGCTACCTCACATTGTAAGAAAGGATGTTTGTAGACAAAAAGAATAGATAGAATCATGCACAGTAAATGAAATCATTTTCCCCTATCCTTTTTCCTTATTTGATTATTGAAAAACTGAACATTTTTCAGTTTTTATAAACTGCATTTTTATAAACTAATAAAATACATTTGTGAAAAGATGCAGCGATTTCCCATCAGATATTGTGGCTTACCTGATGAGGGCAGGGATGTGTTGAAAAGTCAGCAGAACATCTTATGGGTCATGGGACATTAGAATGCAATTGCTAAATGAGGACAGCAAAATTTCCCTTTTAGTGTAGGCAAGTTATCTGCCTACTTCAACCACTGCTATGCTCTGGAAGTACGGGACACCTGCCTGGGTGCTTGTACCCCCTCATGTCCTCCATTCTATGAGAAACGATGAGCACTGAACTGTTTAACAAAATTGATAGCCACCCACTACAGTGCAGATGAGGCTAATTACCACTGGCCTTACAAAAAGTGAACATTAAACACTGATTTTGCATAGAAGAGACACATCAAACACTGTGGAACTGTGGCAACATGATGTAGACATGTAACACAGCCTATGCATCCCCAGAAGCATGGGATGTCTCAGATTGAGACTTCTGGCACCCATAAAGGTTTCTGAATCCAAAGCCATGCTCAAAACTTCTGGAGAAATTATTTGTTCATGATTCCACTGCTTTGATTTATTCAGGGGGAGGCAAGTAGCAATCCTGCTACCTTTTCTTCAGTAGCTGAATGGATCTGGGGATTGTATACTGAAGGTGAACTCCCGTTTCCCCAGAAGATGTCTTGCTGATTCATTAAGAATTCAAATATTTTGTTATGCATATTCAGATCAAAGAACTAGAAATGTATTGAAAAACATTACTTGAGCTGAATGAAATATTTCAGCCACTCGAAGATTACATTTTGACTGACTTTCAGCGACATGCACGCACAGAGACATCGATAGCTTAAATTGTAGCTTATAAAAACCCATGCAACATTTAGCTCCAGTGGTCCCTAGCATGCTGCAAAATTTCCAGTCAAAATCAGAGTTGGATCTTTTCTTACCTGGCTTTCAGTAGAGAACACTCCAACAGGATAAATGACATAGTCATTTGATAGTGAGAAGGGCAGCATGTAAATTTAATAAATAATAAAGCGAAATCCCACCAGAGAGAACTTGTTTGGATCCTTGGAATTTTAATTTGTATGGACCCATTCATGTGGGATTGACAGCTCAGCTTCCCCCCCCTTAACTCTTTCAATGTCTTGAGAGCCATTACCTATGGCTTTACGTGTGGTATGTGACCCAGTCTATATAATTTTCTGTCACATATATACACATTTGCTAATTGAAATACTATTTTAGTGAGCTCCCTTTCTGGACACATAGAAAACGTACTGCTGTACATTTTACCCCTACAGATGAGTGTCATAAAAAGGAGCTTTCAATTATTGTTAAGTGTCTCAATATTTCCCAAAGAAAACTGTTTTAAAACAGAAGCTGAATAGATAATTAAATGTGCATTTTAAAGCACTTCCCATCTTGAGCCATGTCTGGTTAGTCAACCTAATTTCAGAATGAAATACACATTTTTATCTTTGAGCTTATTAAACCAAATCTCACAATGGAGGTTTCAAATTCAGCAATAGATTTCTTTAAAGCAAAACCATTCAAAATAAGATAGCCTGTACAATAATGCAAAATGGTGCTATTCAGAGGAAACCTGTTATCAAATGTTTTTTTTTTCATTAATGTGTTTACTTAAGACTCTATGATGCTGATGGATCAAACAGAAAACTAGAATGATTTGAATTTTCAAACATAGCCTCTGCTTTCTGGTGTATCCACAAGAGACCTGGGTTATTTATAGAATGTTTCTGGGAAGTTCATTCCAGCTGAATTTCATTCCCCACTATGGCACACATCCAACCAATCTACAGCAGACGCTGACTTCCTGCCAGTGTGCACTACGCACTTCAAGGACAAAAAAAAAGTTTGTTCTCAAGTTCAACTGAGGTTTTGATTGGAAGATCTAATTTCAACTTTTGTACTACATCTACAAGCCTGCAGCCAAAAGTCTACAACCACTATGTTTTTTTCTGAGTTTGCAAGAAACAATGAATCAATTTACTGTAGGTTTGTGCATCAACATTTTAGTGTGTTTGAATACCGCATGTGAACGCAGAATATTGAATAAAACAAAGGAGTGCTGTATAGCATAAAAAATTATTGTATGTACAATTTGTCACACAAAACAATGATCTTGTACCCAAAACTACTTTGATGTATTTTCTTAATATCAACATGGGAAGATTTGTTTCTGGAACATAGAACATTTATCTGTGTTCCCCTCAAATATTATGTCAAATGACCAAATTTTGGCAATACAATCTTTCAAAAACAGATAGGACCACATATAATTTAGATGTGGGAAATCCGTGTTCCCATTCACATTTTTAACTGTCTCCAACCAGCACAGAATGGCAAGTCAATACTAACAACTCAAAGGAATTAAGATAAAACCAAATCTAACAATTTGCATTATCTTTCTACTTTGGTGACAAGCAACTGTGCAAATATTCAATACAGGGAAATATAGCAAGAGCGTCAACCCAGACATAATTTCATGAGGGTCAAGCAAGCACATACATGTATACTTCTGATTGGCTGAAGGCGCCAAAAGAGGGGGGAGGG